CAGAGGGCATCTGGGAAGAGTTACAAGAAACCATAATAACTGAACATGTCTGGCATTCTAAAAAGGGCACATGGATTCTAAAATTGTACACATTGCATCAAATTTTGCTGTTCAAGCTGACAAAAATAAGATTACTTTGTTTTAGTTAAAAAAAAAAAAAGGCATAAGTGTTTCCAAGGAAATATGGGAAGTGTTAAAAGAAAATGTACTCACTGCATCATAACTGAATTATGCAACTCTGGCATTGTAAAAAGGACACAGGCATTCTCAAATGTACAAAGTTCATCAAATTTTACTATTCAAGATGATGAAAATAAGACTACTTGTTTCAAGAAGAATTGCATGAAGAATTTTCTACTTTTAATATTTAGCCTGATACATGTTCAAAAACAAAAAATATTTAGCCTGATGAGTGGTAGGGAGAGACAATTGCATGTAAACTGATAAGTTTCTACACATTATACCGTATTGTTCTTACTTTAAATTCACGATAATGTGCACCCTGTACTGGATGCCACACCACACCTTCATCAAATGTACACTTCCTTACCTGACTCCTCCTTTTATTTCTCAAACAAGTGGGGATACTCCCACCTCCACAATATCAATTCATATACCATTAAACTACGTGCCCCAAAACTCCTATTCCCACCCCGTTCTAAATCCACCCAGTAAGACTAATCCTCATCTTAAAATGTCAAACATACTCCTCTCACCCCCATATCAATTCATATACCATTAAACTACGTGCCCCAAAACTCCTATTCCCACCCCGTTCTAAATCCACCCAGTAAGACTAATCCTCATCTTAAAATGTCAAACATACTCCTCTCACCCCCACTAAATATAGTCCAATTAACCCGTCATGTAACCACAAGCTCAAGAAATTAGACAGGCTATCATGATGAAAACCCTAAATTTGACTTCGAGATGTAGCGTGCTACAGGATTTTACCATTTTTTTTGCAATTCTTATAACAGATCTAATGATGTGAGAATGCATAGTTTGGGGTTGGATTAGCCCCACCCTTCTCAAATAATCTCTCAAGCAAATGCTAGTTGTGGATTATTCATTAGAACTGCGTATCATAGGACCAACTACAACACCTAGAGCTTAGGAGCGTACCTCTTGTGCCTCTGGACAAAGGGCGAGTTCTTCGCATCCTCCTCTACATATTGTTATGTGTAAAAATTAGATCCAACAATTTTCGAAATCACAAAATCTACAAACAATATAAATACATCCACAAGAGAAAATTACCAGTGAGGCCAAGGGATAACTTGGTGATAATGGTGCCAGTGATGGCAAATCCGACCAGGAACGGCCAGTTGCGGTTCCACTCTCTCTTGAAGAAAACGGGCCATGGATCGAATTTCCTCATTTTCCTCTTCTTCTGCTTCTTCGATTTCTGCTCTCTCTCTCTCTCTCTCTCTCTCTCTCGTTTCTCTGTGCGCAAGTGCAAGGGCTATACAGACTCCGATTTGGAGGAAGGAGAGGGTTGTAATTTTAGGGCAGATATCGGAGAGTCACTGGGGACCGTTGGATATATTCTTTACTGAGAGATCTAAGCCATCGCCAAGTCTTTTAAGAATCCTGATGCAATCCATGCGATAAGGGACGGGCTAGATGAATTTAAACGGTGGGTTCAAAACTCAATTTATAAACCCCTTGTCTAGGGTTAATTTCAACTCTTTTAACCCAAGTATTGATGTGGTTCTTATTTAGTCTATGGAATTTCGATTTACTCAATTTAATTTTTAAAATATTAATTTAATTTTTATAAGAGACTTTCATCCATATTCATAAACACCAAGCAATCGATTAAATTCAAAAAAACATTTTTGTCCAACTTTCTTATTGTCTTTATCTAACGCTCAAACTATAGTTATATTATTTACTTTTATACTTTACATATATTTGACAAGTAAAGGAGTATTTTGTTAACTCATTTATAATAAATTATTAATAAATTTGGACAATGGTCATGCAATTCAAAATTTGGGCAGATAAAACATTTATAAAATTAATAAAAGGTCAGTGATAAAATTTATAAATATTTAATTTTGGGTAGTGATAATTAATAATTAATTTTTTTATTTTATTTAATATTACAAATATTTCAGATGTATAACATTATGTTTATATATATGTAAATATTATCAATGGACCTTTGGTTCAATGGTACTCTTTATCTTATAAAAAATTTGTTATCTTAAGGTTTAGGGATCAAATCTCTCTCCCCTTCCCCCAAAAAAAATACATACATATATATATGTGTGTGCGTGCGCGTGTGTGTGAATGTTGATAAATTTTTATTAATTGCTTGATTTTTTTGTTAATAATTTATTATAAATGAATTGATCTTAGATTTGGACTAAAATCTGATAAAATTTAATAATAAAATAATTTTTAATAATTAATTATTAAAAAAATTAATAACTATTACAAAATTAATTATCACTGTTCAAAATTAATAAATTTGGGCAGTGGTAATAAATTTATGGTCAACTCAGATTTGGGCATCTTTTATTTTTCTATGTTTTTGGTATGGGCAACAGTTGTAAGTGAATGCCGTGGGAGAGTTAGATGAAAATGACCCTTTCAATTTGATTAACCATTTGGTGTTTATGATTAATATGAACGGAAATCTCCCATGGAAATAAAATTAATACTTTAAGAATTAAATTGAACAAATCAAAACTCCAAAGACTAAATAGGAATCACATCAATACTTTAAAGATGTGATTTGTAATTCACCCTAGATATTAAACAATTTTTGAACTTTAGTTGATCCCGTGATAAAATTGAATTTAATTTTTTGATTACACAATTGAATTGAAATTCGAGATTTCTAACCCTAACTAAGTTCGTTCTCAATATCTTAGGCTATGATTCAATTCAATTTGACGAGTTCAACTCAATTTCATTAATTCTTTTAGTTCCAAGAAATCTAAGAATTTTAACTTGGGTACTATCTGACTTAGAAAGTCATGCTAATTTTTTCCCCATAACTCAACTGTGATATTGAAATCTTTCTTCAAATATTCAAAGTTTGGTTTAAACTTGGGTTGAATTTATATTGACGTATATATGTAATTTTTGTCTTTCTCACAATACACACACAAAAAACCAATCCACAATCTGAGAAGTGCTTTTACTTCTTGTGAATTCCGTAGGCAGTTAAGCTCCAATTCATGGCGCTGCCCCAAAATTGCTCACCACCTAAGTTTAGTATCCCGTTTCTAAAGTTAAATTGATGCAGGATTGGGTACATGATTTTTGATTGTGATTTTCTCTCTAAATTTTTTGTTTCTAGGGGTACAACTTGGGTTGAGTAACCCGATTTCAACCCGAAAAAATTAGGGTTTGGACAAGGGTTTTTAATAATTGGATTGGGTTAGGGTCAAAAAATTCAAACCAAAATTCAATTTGGATTGGGCTCGGGATAAGGTCTCGTGAATCCGAGTTCAACTTGAACCCTACAAATTAAAAAAAAAATTATATATATATATATATTATATAAAACATTAGCACTGATTTTTTATTTTTGTTCTATCGTTTTCTGTCTCTCCCGTTCTCTTTTCTTCTCTCGTTAAAAATTTAGTTGAAATTATTGATTGTTAATTTAGATGAATATTATATAATATATGTATTAGGTTTAGAACAACAATCTTATTTTGGGCTCTACCTGAATTGAATCCATAAAGTAATCCAAAATCAGTCTGAAATCATCAACCCGAATTAAACTCGAGGTCGCCCGAATTAAACTTGGGCAGTGTTCGGATCGAGTTCTCCAACCCGAGGTAGGATTAGAGTTAGAGTTGAAGATTATATATTTAAGATTGAACTAGGGTTAATTGTCCAACCTGTCCAAATTGCACCCTATTTGTTTTTCAGCCTTTGGAATTCCATGGCTTGTGTTGGGACAGTGGCCAATTATTTGCCTAGTTACGCCGACGTTCAATGCATATTGGTTACTGTTGTATTCACTCTATCTTACGGGTAGAAAATATGAATTTTTGTCTTCCTATCTGATATTTTGCAGAAGAATTTTTTTTTTACCTATCTCACAGGATCAAGTGTGATACCTTCACGACTTTCGGCCAAATTAATCTGGTAAAAAATCGGATAAACACTTTTATAATTATTAATTTTTACATCAGTTTAACAATTCAATTAAATAACATGTATTAATTTAACAATAAAATAAACCAATAACACTACAATTTAAAACATTTATAACAACAATTACAATAAAACATAAAAAAACATAAACATCAATTCATTATAATTGTTGTACAAAAGCAATAACAATTATTTTAAATTTAAACCATATGGTTAGAGAATTAGAGTTTTTAGTTTTTATATATATATAAATTAATGCAGTTAGAGTAGGGTAGGAATACGAAAATTAATGACTATTTCGTATTTCTACTCAATTTAATCAAAAGATCAAAAACTCTTTCACATTCCTACCTAATTTTTTTGACTAATCGTTCAATAGGGTTAGATAGAATAAGAAATTGTAGTTCATCAAAAAAATTGAACACGTTCACTGATGGTGATTTTATGAACTGTTTTTGCAGGGGTTGGGATGTGGACATTAAAATTATTTAGATAGTATTCAGTGCCAATGACCAAATTAGTTTAATGTATAATTTTACTAACTAAATTAACGAAATTTAAAATTTTACGGACTAGAATAAACCTGTTATTTTATTCTTTGATAATTATGGTCTCGGATTTGAGATTTGAAAATTATGCCGTCCAAGGTTTTATTGATCCTTATAAACGAATTATGACCAAATCAATTTAGTGTCTTCCGATTTCTTTAATATATTCTTTATTTATCATTTTCCCATAAATGAATTTTTTTAATTCATTTATTAATACATAATCTATTGAGTATTGATAATTGCATCATTTATATAAAGTGAGTCTTTCTTAAATTTATATTGTCAAAAAATTCAAAAAAAATAATTCAGCCCAAATCGCCCAAAATGGCAGGTGTCCATATTTCGCGCCTCCTATTTCAATTTCAAGTTTTTCAGCCTCACCTAAGAAATTTGAACCGCAAATTAGACCACAGTATATTTTTCACTGCAATGTTTAAACCCCGCGAACATAACCCTTTTTCCCTCTCTTAAAAGAAGCACAATCCGCGCGGCTTCCTTTAATGCACTTGTCGTCCGTCGATCATCATATAATCAACGTCTTAAGTTCATCCACTCATTTGACGCGGATCGATACTCTCATCCATCGATTGAGCTCTAAAACCAACGATCCCGATTACGGCCGCCTTAATTCAAAATCTCCCCCAATCCCCACCAATAAATAGCCAATTCCTCAACCGCCACTTCTCACCATCCCACAACCAAACAAATTCCAATTCCCTCCATTGCAGGACTCTAGTTTTCTCTCTCTTCAAGCTTCTGAGAAATGTCTGGGCGTGGCAAGGGAGGCAAGGGGTTGGGAAAGGGCGGTGCGAAGAGGCACCGAAAGGTTCTTCGTGACAACATTCAGGGCATCACTAAACCTGCGATTCGTAGGCTCGCTAGAAGGGGTGGTGTGAAGAGAATCTCTGGTCTGATCTATGAGGAGACTCGTGGTGTTCTCAAGATTTTCCTCGAAAATGTGATTCGTGATGCTGTGACCTACACTGAGCATGCTAGGAGGAAGACTGTGACAGCCATGGATGTGGTTTATGCACTCAAGAGGCAGGGCAGGACTCTCTATGGGTTCGGTGGTTAGGTTGTTGTTTCATTAGGGTATTCGGTGAATCTGTTAGGTTGATCAGTTTTTCTTTTATTCCAGTACACCTTTTTTTTTGGCTACGTCACTTCTCTTGTTGATCTTTATCGGAATTAATAGACCCTTTCGTATTTGGAAAGTAATTAACTATAGTTTATTTTCTTTTTAATTTTTTTCCTTGGCAGACTAATTACTATGACTTATTATATATAAGTGGACTATGACTAGGTGAATGATTCATTAATAAAAAAAATATTAAAATAGAACTAAATCTGGTGCAGCATGTATCATGTTTAATTGACGACCTCGACGAAGCTAGCAAGTGGATCTACTAATAATGACAACTACCCAAAAATGAAGCAGCTCGACCAACCAGTCAGGTATCGCGGGTGAGCTACAGATGTAATCTATTATCCAAGGGTTAATTTTATTTTGTACTTCAATTTTTAATTTAAACACTTAAATATTAAAAAATTTAATTTATATCCTTAATATTAAATTTTATTAATTAAATAGTGATTGAATTTTTCATATGTAATTTACATGAGATATTAATAGTTTGTGAATTTATTTATAAGCACGCGATTGAAATATTTGTAATTTATGATAAAAAATTGAATGATAGTTTAAGTGAGGTTTACATTGTTATTAATTTATAATATTAAAGGTATAAATTAAAAATTAAAACATTTTTAGGGTGCAAAGTGAAATTAACCTTTATCCAAAACGCATATTTTACACGTACAATTGCACGTGTATAAATCCACTGATCACATTTTCTATGGTGTCGCTTCCACGCCACGCCAACACGCCTTTTTGCTTGGACTTTATGAACCTTCATTTTCACAATTTCTCTTTGACCAGACAACTTTTACTGCAAATCTCCGATTAGAATAATTGCGAGGTAAAATTTGTGTGAAGAAATCTTCACTGAAACAAATGCTCACTGAGCTTAAGTTAGATCCAGCGGTCGGTGTTAGGGGTTTTGTAGTCTCTGCGTTTTCAAATGCTCTCTAATCGGAGAGAGCAGGGTCAGAATGCCACAAGCTTCAACGTCTCGAGGCTTTGCTTATCTTACAGCTCTCGCCCAAGCAATCGAGAAAAAGCTTCAGCGGGTTTGTCTTCTTCATTTCCCTTTCCGTGTGATACACAATGCACACTTCCATGAAAACTAGGTCCGAATTTTAGTATAGCAATTGATGAGTGGATTTGATTTTTTTTTTTTTTAATTTGTTTCAGGCTCTAGTTTCCCCGTCCCAGAGACGAAACTTGTTGGAAGAGCTATTTGCGGACATAGCATTAGAAGTTGATGATCGGGCAAAAGGTAAGTTGATGCTGCTGCGTTTTTTGTTCTTACTGGTGCCATGTCATTCCAAGAGTTCAATCTTCAATTTGTTTGTAACGCCTCTATGCTACAGAAATAGGTTTTTTTTTTTTTTGAGTAATGTTATGTTTGAGAACATTTTTACGAAAAAATGTTTTTATGAGTTGATAGTTTTAATTCCAATCAAAAATGTTTTGAGGTCCATCTCGAGCTGCCAATTAATTTGGTAAAAATATTTTTTAATAAAAATTTTAGCATGCATAACAATTTTTTTTTCTTTTTCAGAACTTATCTTAATCTTATATCCCTATTGCTTGATTTTCGTTTCTAAAAGTACGTGCTAAATCATTCATCTTTTTCCCTATATAAGTCAAGTGACTACGATCACTTTCTAATGCACCGACCTCCTCACTATAGCCACCGTAAGATTCTGAGACCGTACTACTGTATGGTTTGGATTCATTGGTTCGTATTCACAATTATGTATTTTGACCTACGAACATCTTAACAGAGGTTGAGAATGTTATCAATAAATTTGTAGCTGATGGCTGATGTTGGGGGGCCTCTGTGGATACTAGAGACTTGATGCTGATATTGTAGCCAATTGTCGTTGGGAATACTTGTCTACTGTTTCGATAGCAAGTCTATTCTAAGAGAATCATCGTACAACGATATTGTAGAAAGGGTTTTAAGTGAAATATAAAGCTCCCATAACTTCCTACTTTTCATTGATTTTTTTTTTTTTGGTCTGAATTTCCTTGCAGCAGCTACAGTAGTTCCATTTTCACTTTGATGATATTATTTAATAGTTACACTTTTGACTGTAAGGTTTTCTTTCTTCTTATTCTTTTGGTACAGAACTTTGTTCATTTTTGTTTTCTTTTGACATACATATTTGCTTGCTTGTATTCATCCAGAGTGTGAGCAGGGCTGCACATAATGTGTGGGTTAAAATCTGAGGGAAGAAAATGGAAATTTGTTTGTCCTAAGAGTAAATGTTAGCATTCCAATCGGTGATATTTAGCATTTCTGCTTCTTACTCTGTTTTTGGCCTTTTAAATAACGGAGCGTTGAGGAAAAATTGTGCATAAGAAAAAATTTTGTGCAGTGTCTAGGTTGTATTTGCTTTTGAATAATTTAATTTGAGTTAGTTTTATGGCGTGTGGCTTCTTGATATAATAGATTTGTTGACTCTATTCATACACAGACAATTTTAGATTTCTGATTTTATTCATAGAGATTGGTTCTGTGGTTCTATCATGTACTTTCTTCTCCTTTAATATTTTCATTTTCTGCACCACAATTGAAACAGATATAATCCTTGGCAGTGAAGATGTAATTTCTGTGGCGGAGGTGGGGACACGGGGTCTGCTATGCTTTTATGATGTGCTTGCTGATTATTTTATTTGGGCGCCTGAAAACGGAAAACACATCCTGGATTTGATTGTTCAACTCTGGAGCCAATCATTTGCATCCCATATTTTTTCCCTTATGTTCCATAAATGGGTATGTGAGTTTATATAGAGTAGAAATGTAGAAGCTATCATTAATGTATTTGGCATGAAAATTTTCCGTTTGTTGTGTAATGTTCCATGAAAAGGTGAACTTATCTTTGAATATGGAAGCCTGTTGTATATATTACTGTTTTCTTAGGGATATCTATTTTGCTCAGTGATCAAATGAGAACGGCTTGAAGGGTCAAATTGAAGTCTACAATCTCGCTGACTGCCTATGATTTACGCCCTAGATGGAGGTTCTTCTTGAGTAGCATATGTTGGCCTATTGTGTATATCAGTGAAGATTTTGATTATATAATCATTAATATGTACATGCTAATAGATTTGCAAATCTTCCTCTGGAAGACGTCCTTAAAGTACCTAATAGTGGTGTTCTTGTTACTCAATTATGCCATTGGGCCTTAATTGCCATCACAGTTGAAAAGATTGATCTGACTACCCAAAATGTTGATGTAAAAGGAAATCTATGATTTAAATGACATAACTGTCTGTTCCTTTAGTTGGGGTTTCCAATCTTGAAATTTTCACAAGAGACATTTCAAGCATGCCCAACATGGTCTACAAGAATCAAAGAGACACTGCCTTGCTATTTGGCATTGTGTCAAATTTGTTCTATTATTTTTCTTATTCTGAGTTATTATTGTGTTTGACTTGGATTCTGGTTATGTATAGCCTGCCTAGGTAGAACATTTTCCCCTTTTTTATTGAGTGACTTGAAATTGTCTTATCTGTATTCGAGGTGACATGGATATACATTATGTTCTGGATTTTTAAATATTTATCTGATGTGTTGTTGGATACTTTTTAAAGATAAGTCAAATTAATTAAAAAAACAGTTGACCTATGTTAGCATAAAATGTTGATTTTATGGTTTTGATGTGATAGGAAGCTTGCATTCATTTTTATGATTTTATTTGGAGTTCTCTTATGTTTTTAGTGTGTTTTAATGAAGTTGTATACTTGTATCTATGCTGATGACGGGTTGCAGCTGAACTACTTATAGCATTCTTGTGACGTGGAATATGTTGTGTTTGTATATTCTGGTTTATGTTGCAGTTGTTCGAAGTTCAGCTTGATAATTCTGATGTCCTCCTCCGTTACTCGTCGGCCCTTGTTCAAGGTGCTACAAATATCTTCTGGTATGGATAATATTTACGTTCGCATAATTATACATTGATCAAGTATCCAAGAAGTTGGTTTTGTTTAGAGTTATGTAACTATAATGTAGATAATTGATTCAAAGAGAGAAGCCCGAAGGGCTTTTAGTGTGATGTGTAGGTAGATATAGAGATCACCAACAGACATTGGATCCCCGCATGTGATAAGGTGGAGCATTTTTTGTGTGTTTGTGACTTTGTTCATAATGATACAAGTTTGCTGTGGAAAAATGTGTTGATTGTTGAATATGACATAAGGAATAATAAAGGTATTAATCTCCACCAGGAAAATTCATTTATTTGTTTTTGACGTAAATGAAAGTCGGTTCCCACATAATACAGGAGAAATTGCTTGCTCAGCTTCTTTTGCTGTTTACATATGCCATTTATGCTGACTCCTCTGTGTAGCTGGTTCTCCTTTTTAGCCTATCCTGTTTCATTTGTGCCAAGAAATTATCTCTCAGCATGTGGGCTTCTCATGTATGGCTTGTATCAGTCTGTTACTTGTTGTAGTCTAGGTGCTGGGAGGGCAAAATATATAGGTCTGGATATTTTTATATAAACTGGCTGCTCTACAACTCAAAACCACGATCTCAAGATTGACAGACTGAACACCATACCATTCAAAAAAGCAATGGCACCTTTAGAACAATGAGATAATTTTGTTAATTTCACTCTGTTTAATTGAATACTGAATATTGGGTAGTTAACCTCCCATCTGGTTTGAACCTGACTCTTCCATTGAAATGAATTCTGCAACTCTTTTTATGGGTTTGTGAGAGTTTTTAGTTTCTTTAAGTTTTTTCCCTTTATCTTATTCTTATTTTCTTTTTCTTTTTTGTGTTGCTTTGTTTCATCATTTACAGTAATTCTCTTACCTATTTGTTCTTTATGCTCAAAAAGATCCCTTCATAATTAAGGTATATAGACAGAAAAAAAAGATACTATATGGTAATATTGTTCTATGATTGTTTGCAGGATTGACATTCAAACCAACACAAGGCGCTTCCATAGCCTTTTTCAGGTGAGTGGACTTTGAAGGAGTAAAATGTTGTGTATCAAACTAAATTTATGTGGCTTGGAATAGATATTTCAGCACAATTTTGTCTTGTAATTGGTGTTGCAGTATCTTTTTGAGGAAGTTGCATTGGTGCCTGAGCGATTAAAGAAAATCCCCTTGCAGGTAATGCTGTACTTTGTGTTGTACTTCGACCAATCATTTTACTGCTAAAGGGAATTAGAATTTAAACACCAACTAGCCTACTCACTAATTAACAGGCCCAACGAGATTTGTTCCTTCTCCTCTCAAGGTTCTTGCTCTTTTACAACTTAGGTAGGCCTTGTCACTTTTGAACCTCTGTTATTGAACATCGGAACCTGGTTCTTTAGTGATTGATCATTTTTTTGCTGAAAAATACAGCCGACAAGCTCGAAAGCTTTCTGAAACAATTTCCTGATTTTACGAATGTTTTCTTGGTTGGTGGTCCGGCAGACATTTTTGTTATTCAACTAGTTGATCAGGTAAGAATTGAAATCCTAATTTTGAAATTGCATCTTTTTATGAGTTTGATTCCGTTGCTCACAGTGAAGTCTATTCACGTGACTTTTAAATTTTCTAATTTGTCAGCTACAAAAGCTGAAGGTGGAGCCAGTGCTAATTCATTACCTTTCCCACATCAAAGTTCTCCAAGGTAGTACAAATTCAACCCCTGATGAGTGTAAGGATTTTAAATTCTTTGGATCTGATATGATTTAGGCTAGATTGAATTGATCTATGCAGTGTGACTAATTCCTCCAGGCCTGGAACTAAGAATGACCACAAGTACAAGGCTAAAAGCTTGCTTGTATAGCTTCACTTCTCCTGGCGGTCCAATGTATCCTACAAGAGCTGTTCGTCACGCAGCCTGGGATGCACTAGATATGCTTTTCCCAGTGAGTAATCTTTAATCTTTTTCTTTGCTGTACCCTTGGAGAGCAAATAATTTATCAAACTCGTAATTGTTTGTACGGGTTACAGATCGTGTTCATCAATATTTGGGGGTGACATATTCATGTCACTTGCGTTCAGATTTTCTGCTTGAATACGTTATAGTTAAGGGGTGTATACAAAGTCTTACCCTTTTTGTGTTGGGAATTTGTTATTTGAAATTATTACAAAGCCCATCAACAAGACAAACTGAAGGCAGGACTGTAGAGTAGCCAATAATCACACCATCGTTTCTTACGTTCTCTGGTACATGCAAATGCAAAACACAATGGAGTTAAGCAAAGCATTGGTTGATAGCTTATTGGGATCAAAAGGTTTTGGAATCTTTTATCATTTGGCTAAAAATAGAAAGGATATGATATAAGTAAACACAAATTACATGGGTATCTCTTTATAGTTGGCCTACATATAAGGACCCTGGTGGCATCATCTATAATGAAACTAAACTTCATTTCTAACTACTTGACTGAATAACATGTCTTTGATGGTAATTTGACTAGTGTTTTATAGCATGAACTAGATCATATATCCCCTTTGCAAAGATTGTTCCCTGGTATCATTTCAAGGATGTACATAGGTGTAGGCATCAATTTGATTTGCAAGCGTCGGTTTAGTAGCAATGCATATTCATGCTGGTGAATATTTGACTGGGGCTATTAGATTTGCGCCTCTTCACTTTTTCACAAAGTCAGCTATCTTTATGGAATGGAATTGATGCTTTTGTTCAGGTTGGACGATACCCTCGGCATGTTATAAGCCTCTTTTTTCGCTTGCTGTATCCATGGTACTGGCCCTCGTCCTGTTGGAACTTCATAATGTCCTGCATTCAGGCAGTGTTTTACTCTGTACTGAGGTTGATATTTTCTAGTTGGGAAAAGTTGACAAAGCCCAAGCATTTATAGATGATGTGCATTCTATATATCAAATATCAAGCGGCTTGTGATGCATAGACAGACAAATGTAAGAAAGATTTCCTGCTGTTTAATATCTTCAGGTGTGCATGTAGATCATATTGATTTGCTCTAAGACACAATTTAGAAGTAAGGCTTTGGACCTTGCAACTTAAACTGTGGGCGTTGATATTGCCGTTAGATATAATGCAGTAGATGCCGGTTTGTTTTGTAGTCTGGTTCTGGTTTTGTTTTGATATCTTCTCACAACATGCATGGGCAACCCCTCTCTGTCTCTCAAGACTACATAAATTCGTAGTCTTGGTATGGCTAGCAGTGTTAGTCTTGGGGGAGAGATCTGGTTGGCAACATAATCATCAATCCTTCAAACTGGAATTGAAAATATTTTTTTCAGTGATTTGAGGTACTAATTAATTCTCGTTTTGAGAATCCTGAGGTTTGGCAAACAATTATAGAGAAATGATAATTTCATCTTCCACCTGACTTGATCCTACATTTGGCATAGCTGTCAAGAGCCCAGTATCGAGAGCTTCACCGAGTTGCAACCTAATAGCCTAATATAGCCTATCAATGCACGAAGGTTCCTATTCAGAGGCCTAAATTGGGGAGGCGAGACATCTTGGTCGAAGCTCCATGGATGATGCAAAAAACAACATTCTGATTGTACCTACATAGTCACTATTTTAGTACACAAGACAAAAGCAAATGACTATTATTTGCCAACCAAAAAAAAAATCATGTTTTTAATATCCTGACAGTATCCTCCAAGAAAACGAACCCTCTTCCAAGATATGCTAAAAGACAATGATCAACATGAAAAAAGAAAAGTGAAGAAACCCAAAAACTAAAATTATCACACTATGCACATCTTCATGCCTAGCGTACTCTCCAAAGGGTGTTTCGTGCTTGTTTCGAGCGGCTATTTCATATGTGATACCAAAAACCCTTCAATGTCCAACTATCTTCCCAAAATAAGTCTTCCAAACCATCTTAACATCCTACAAGCGAAGTTCCAAACAGCATTGCATCAAGACACCAAACGTAAGTTTCCTTTCCCTGCGAATACAGCCAAACATAACTGTGTATAGCATCATGTATGTAATGATGGTTCCTACAAATAGTGATTACTTCCTCCAGAAGAAGATGATGAGTATTAAACGAGAATCAACCAAACTGCTGGGACAGACACTCGAGTCTCTTTTCCATACGACTCCCCTTTCTGTAAAGTTGAATATATCACTCGTGCAGTCTCCTGATACAAGCAGGGCACTGGAGAATTTACCAACTCATTTCCAACTTCCACCATTTAAGTACTTTATGAAAGTCAGTATTGTGCCTCCTCCTTGATCACTTTTTCGAAGAGTCCTACACCCACCGGGCAGGTCTTTTGCTTCCCCAGAGCTTTCATGGGTGTTGCCCCGTTCCCCAATCAGATGTTTGAAGGTGAGGCAACACCAGATATCCGGCATTCTGAATCAATTGACTACTCATTCAAATGACCTTATTTTGGTCAGGCTGCTGGTTGTTACACACTACACTTGCACTTCAAAAAGACATTACTGTGAAAGAAGGAAATCTTGAGACCAGAAGAACCTCTTACAGACTATCCTCCATAGGAATATGCAACTAAGAATTGCTTAATCCACAACCACTGGACATGTATTGCATTGACCAATTTTCAGAATCCTGAAAAAGCCAAACTGAAATAATTTTCCTCCATAAAACAATCATACTCGATGTCCTAGCCAAAACCAACAAATTAGACAACCAAGTTCCAATTAAAAAAGGGCTCATCAATACAAAGGGCAGGTCTTAACAGCATTCTGCGTACCTAGCCAAAAGCAATAAATAGACACCCAAGGAGCAGCTTTCAACCAACTACCACCAATGAACAAGACAGCACCACAATTTTGAAAATAAAGAAGCACCCAGGTCATGTCAATTATTCAGTCTCAAACAAAAAAGTAACCAGCCATCCTTAAACACCAAATCTGTAAGTAGTTAGAGTGCCACCATTCTACATTTTTCAAAATTCTGCATATTCCCCAACTTGGAAGAGCCAAGGCATAGCTATGCTTCTGCAAAAAAGCCTGTCCCTAAAGTAAGCCGCAGTGGACACCAGCTCACCGCAAGATTCCCTTGATGAATTTAGCAGTCCATGTCAGTATTAAGATTCCGAATATTTGACTTAACTCTACATTGTTCTGCTAAAATGACCCCTCTTTCATTGACCTGTTCTCTATATTGTCAATATGTGAAGTCAAACAGGACTTTCGAATGACTAAACGTTCAAAGTTAAGGCCCATTTGATGAATGTGCTAAGAAATCTCTGGACAGACCACCAAGCGAAAACAAAATGCGATGCAAAACAGCTTAACAGATTAACCTCAGAAACAGCACCATTAAAAAAAAAAACCATGGAGATAACTTCAACAGTGAAAACGAACGGAAATTGTTTTTTTTTAAAATTACCTCTAGTTGATGTTCTCACAATTCAACGATGAAAGAAGCAATCCTAGAACTTCAAAGCAGTGGGTGATGCACGTCTTAATTGTTCATCACCTTCTAGGCAGCACCTTGGTTGTGTCCGGTGAACAAGGAGACATAGTTTGCACTTTCATGCCTCCAAGTCAGGAATGGATTGAAACCAAAGTAGCTACTTGCCGAAAAAGTTCAGGATCAAAATACATGCATCTGTCCATCAACCCACACAATATACCATAATGAAAGGAATAATCAACAATAAAACCCCAAGCCCCATAAACCAAGGTTCTAATGGTTCTTCATACAAATGCTTTCATACTCGTTACTTAGAGTGTTGGATTTTGGGGAAATACACAAAATAGTGGGGCCCGGTGCATCACTAAGCACATGATGGCTATAGCAGGCGTAAAGAGCCAACCAATAAATATGAGAGATGTGTTCAATTTATCTGCATTGCTTCTGAATGATACTTCTCCAGATCAGCATCAAGATCTTCGGCAGATATATTCTCGCCACTGTTTCTACCCCGTCCACGGCCCCTTACCAATCCACGACCTCCATTGCCACGACCGCGTGATCTTCCGAATCCACCACCACCCCCTACTTGACTACTGTTGCATAAATACGCCAAACATTCAATTGAGACATCCAATCTACTAACTAAAGAGAAGCATATTTGCAAGAAAGAATTAGATGATCAGCAACTCATTTATCTTATCGTTTGTTAATAGGAAGCCAGGTAAACCATTTCCCAATAAGATACAAGACACATTTCACCAATAATTGGAAAGATCTTGAAAGAAATCACAACCATTCACCAACACCAGTGTAAATAGTGAGCCTAGAAGACTTATTATGAATATTAGACACTCAAATGTGCCTTCAAGCAATCACTCAAGGCATTAAAATTAGAATTATTTAGATTGTTAATCTCTAAATAATTCTAATTTTAATGCCTTGAGTGATTGCTTGAAGGCAGAAAATAATTCTAATCTCTAAATAATTCCCTATCTTAGTAGTTACCACAAAAAGTTGGCTGCAATTACTCATGCATGACAAAAACGAACTAACCTGACTAACTCCAAAAAGAAATACTAAGTGGTGGATCGCCATGCCAGATATCAACCATAATGAATATAAAAATTTGTAATTAAATGATGTCTTCCTTTTGGTAGGTAATTACATTTCCTTGCTGAACATAGTCACACTCACACTATCATAATTTACGGCACTTTTAGGCAACTCTCTGAGTCCATGATTTCAGCATAAGGAGATGTTTTTGCAGCTTATTCATATTAAAATGAATTTTAAATAATAAGGAACCTTCAGGACCAATTTATTGCAAGCATTAATATCACGATTTTACACTCGTAATAAAGATGACTGTTGTTGATCATCAAAACCAATTTAATTAATGGCAGCCTTTCTAACATATATATCAATCAACCAAATATAAGCGGTACAGTGCAAGCATATGACACATCCCAAGCATTGCATGCAGGAGGAGACAGAATATTGGAAGACTTTCCTGCATAAATCTAAAAACCCTAAAACAACTGGAGAAATTGAAATAACTGTAGTGAATACCTTTTGGGAACTCCATTTGTATTTCCAAAAGTGCTATTTACAGATGGAGGCACAGCAGCAGGAGTAGCAGCGGGAGTAGCAATATTTGTTCCTACAATCTCAATTTTCATTGGCTTTCCATCAAGTTGAACATTGTTGTACCTCTTGAAAGCTGCTAAAGCATCTTGTCGCCGTGAGAAGACAACCTCTGCTGTTCCCTAAACAAAAGAGTTTTTCTAAACCACAGCAGGACACAAAGGATCCTTTACGTTGTGACAAGCTTGATAAGATACCTTTGATCTTCCGCTCCTATCGTAATGTATCGAATTTCGTTTCAGGTCACCAACCTCCGAAAAGAGTTCCTGCAGTGTACAATATGTGAGAATTAGTGCAAAAATGAAATGACACGAGAAAGCCAAAGTACTGCATAAAAATTATGAAGAAGAAATCATGGGAAAAAAAAGTAAAGGATAGAAATTAGACAACATAGCAAGTAACACGACCAACGTATAGCTGATTAAGTTTTACTGTGTTTTATAAGATTTGCCGTTAACTGTGTGGGTAGTAGGGCTGTTACAATAACAGGAAAAGCCGCTACCACATTCAACGTCCATGTCACAACCCAAAGGGAAGCCACTCGTCAAATTTTGAACAACAGTTGTAAAACTTGGCTACGAAGGATGGGTAATGCAGGTCAATAAATGTGCCCATCTACCTCACAGATAGAATAGGGGAGATTGGAAATTGAATTTCAATACTTCCAAAATGGCAATTGCAAGAATGGTAAAGTTGTGACCACACCGAAGTTGGGAGCACAGTCGACGTTTGAGATTACAAATACCGGAAATTAAACTTGACTTTTTTGACTTCAATGTGCTTCCTGACCAAAGTGTTCTTATATTTTTCAGAACTTTCTGATTTAACAAAGCCACACAACTAAGTAGCAATATTAATGCCTCTTGTCCCATGCGTTACTAGCCATAAAGTCATTTCGAGATAGAAACCTTGACCATTGACTGTAATCGGAGTAAAACCCTAACACATCTCCATGGTAGATTCTATCCCAGCACCATCTCAAGCTACAACTTTCATACACAATGTGCATCATATCAGTCCATTACATTGAAAAACCTAAAGAAGCAAGTCAAGCAAATGAAAACTGATATTTAAGACATTATATCCGACCAGTTAGCTACATAATAATCCTCCACCGATCTTCACACCAACATACAATTAGATCTCGCATTCTATGGCTCCTCATAATTTTACCTGAAAATGGTTCACTTGCAATGCAAGAATCCCCAACTTAATTCCTACAGCTCCTTACAAAGTTCAGGCTTTCAAATAGCTAATAAGCAACTTCTAATAAAAGAATGGAACAAAATCCAGAAGTTTGTAACAGTGTAAATGGAGCTAGAATATTACAAAACCCAAACACTACCCAGACATCAAACTAACACTTTAGGAAGCAAACCGGAGACATTGCTATTAAGTGTGAAAGCCATAAATACAGACATCAGGAAACAAATGGGGAAACAAAAATAAATAAACAAGAATTTTTACCTTGATGTCTTCGTCAGAAACACCATAATCAAGATTAGATACATAGAGCTTTGTTCCGGTCTCTATAGAGGAGGATCGACCACCGGCTTGTGCCATATAAGTCAACGCCTGATCCCCGCCGAACATGTCGTGCTTCCACCCCGAATCTGGTGCCTGAACCACCAACAATTTTCCAGAAATCTCAAAATTTATAAACCAAACACCTCATCGGAGTTCAATCGAAAAATCTTTTTTTTTTTTCCTTTAGAAGTGGCAAAATCATGATACCTAACGGATCTTTGGTCCAATGGTACTTTGAAGGCTTTGAAAGCTTTGTTTTAAGGTGAAGGTTTCAAGTCTCCTCCCCCTCCCCAAAAATAAAAAGAAAAAAAAATGAATCAAACAGAAAAAAGATCTAACCTTTGGGGCGGTGTAGGGTGCAGCTCGATTAGCACCGCGGTTGGAGAAGCGGCGAGCAGGGCCGGGTCCAGATCGACCTCTGCCGCGGAAGCTCCCTCCGCCACCACCGGAAGCTTTATTTTTCTTGATCAGGTCGTCGAGAGTCGTGTCAAGCTGAGGACCTACCATTTTTTTTGGGGATAAAACTTAGGAGAGAGAAAGAGATCTGAATTAGGGCTGTAGAAGGAGAAGATGGTAAAGAAAAAGGAAGTCTCAAGGTCAAGGGTTCTGGCCTCAGGGGGCAAGACGATCAGGACCAGAAAGCAATAGGGGTAATCTTATTTTATATTTCGAAAGATCGTTCGAATCTCAATTTATACTCTTAAAGATTAAAAATTTAAATTTATACCTTCAAAGATAGAAAATTGTATCAATGTACACCCCCAAAGATCAAAAATCTCAATTTGTACCCTCAAAGATAAAAATTTATATCAATGTACACCCTCAAAGATCAAAAATCTCAATTTATACCCTCAAATATAGAAATCTGTATTAATGTGCACCTAAAATTAAATTGATAAATTATACCTAGTTTCCCTTATGTTTATCACTTAATCATTTGAACCCCTTCACATTTAGAATATTACTCCTACATCTCATGACGTTTGTACATGTGTAAACATAACCACTTTTCGTTGATATCTATTAATATAATCGTTAAAAAATATGATTTTATCCTAATAAAAAATTATAATTTTATATTATCCTTTATTTTGTGGATTCGATATACTCTAAAGTTTAAAATCAAGCTTACCATTTGAATGTCTAATAGAATATAGATATTTATAAAAAGGAAAATATGAAAAATATTATATAAATATTTACATTTTATTAGACATTCAAATGGTAAGCTTGATTTTGAACTTTAAAGTATATTGGACCCATAAAATAAATGTAATATGAAATTATAATTTTTTATTAGGATAAAATTATATTTTTTAACGGTTATATTAACAGATATCAACGAAAATGTGTTACATGTTGTACGTGCATAAATGTCATGAGATGTAGGAGTAATATTCTAAATATAAAGAGGTCCAAACGATTAAGTGACAAGCATGAGAGGATCTATGTATAATTTATAAATTTAGTTTTAGATGCATAATGATATAAATTTCTATATTTGAGAGTGTAAATTGAGATTTTTTATCTTTGGGGTGCACATTGATATAAATTTCTATCTTTGAGGATGCAAATTGAGATTTTTGATCTTTGGGGGTGCACATTGATACAAATTTCTATCTTTGAGGGTGTAAATTAAGATTCAAACTATCTTTCGGGGTGTAAAATGAGATTAACCCAAAGCAATAAACACTGGCCAGCTGTTAATGCATGTTGCTGAAATATATAATCAATATAATATTAATCGTTCAATCAGAAAAAACAAGCTGGTGTCGTGGTGTAGTTGGTTATCACGTCAGTCTAACACACTGAAGGTCTCCGGTTCGAACCCGGGCGACGCCACTCTTTTTTGTGATTAAATAAATTAAATACTTCTGCCCTTTTGGCGTTCTTGGTCTATGAGTTCTTGAAGCAATTTGTGAGATAAAAAAATCCCAGTTTTTTTATTTATATTTTTTTTGGGGTGAAAAAGTAATAAATCAAGGTAGGTTTACTTAACCCTTCATCATTTAACGTACCAAAAAACAAAGAAGAGTGGAATAATGGAACTATTAAGTGACCATGGAAGCCTATTTTAATATGCAAATTTCCTTTGAGAAATTTATATAATAAAATATAATATAAAAAATATTTTTTTATTTTTCCTAGTTGAGATCGTTTATAATCTTATTTTAAAGTTAATTCGACGTCTAATATTAATTTTTCAAATTAAATAGGTGTATTTGGATGACTTTTTAAAAGTGTTTAACTGATTTATAATTTCTCATAAACGCTATAAAAAAAATAAATAATGTTTGAAATAACTTATTTTAATTACTTCTTCATAAGTCAAAAATAGTTTATCACTTAAATAAGTAAGAAAAAGTTAAAAAAAAAAATTCTACTTTTTTAAAATCACTTATTTACAAAACATTTCACCACAATCATTGTCATCGCCACCCCACTACTACAACCCCCACCGCCCTACAATTGCTGCCACCACAACCGCTGCCTCCACCCCACCACCTTCGCCACCGCCCCACTACCACCATTGTCTTCACTTTTCATTGATTGTTATCACTGTCGCCATCGTTATTTTATTCTTATATTTATTATAATTACCACCATCATCAGACCACCATCTGTCGTCGCCCATTGTCACTGCCACCTAGTATTATTCACCCCCACCACACCTTCCACCACCACCACCACCACCACCACCATTTGTCGCATGTGACGGTCGAGTCTCGACTTGAAAGAGATTAAATAATTAAGAATTTTATGGGTCACATGAAAGTGTTGAAAATTATACAACTGCTATTCGAGATCAAATTATAAGTTAGGATTTTTAATTATGAGACATTTGATTATTATGAATTTTATTGGGATCAAAACTTAGTAAGTAAGAAAAAAATATTAATGAAAATTACTTTGATTTACTTGTTATTCATAAACGGTGGGTTGTGTTTTGTATAATAGAGCAAAAAATATTAATGCACTAGACAAAAATAATAACAATGTACGTGGGAAAGTGTCCACGGTTGGATGTGTGTAGTTAACGAAGTGGATGTGGTGTCTTGAAAGCAAGACTTAGAAGTGGGTGTGTGCATGTGAAGTGGGTGCGTTGTCAATGTGTTGTATACATGAGTGTTAGGAGAATGTATTATACTATTATATCATTTCCTTATTGTCCTAAAACTTTGTTTTTTTGTGTCATTCAATTATGAAATTTGATAAAATAAATGAAACTTTTCTCTCTCTACAAATGGGTAATTCAAAAAAAAAAATGAATATATATATATATACACAAAACTACATAGAAATAAAGAAATCACCCCAAAATTTTAATATTGTTTTAATCTTTTATAATTTTTTTATAAATTTAGACAAAAAAAAAGAAAAAGAAAGCAAATATAACTATTTTGACATGAGTCTGATTTGAAACACACAAAAACATATGTTTTTCACAAAAATAGAATATTAAAGAAATAAAATGACGACTTTTTTAAATTTGTGGGTAGAGAAGACTTAAAATTTCAGGAAAAATCAGTAGACTGAAATTGTACTATCATAAGTGTTTAACTCAAAATAATCAAAGAAAAATTTGATAGGTAAGCTTAAAGTTTATATAGTATGAAAGATGAGTGAGATTTGAGTTTTAAAAAATATAAGAAATCCAGAATATGGAAGATAAAAAAGAAAAATTTTATCTACAGATTTTCACATGATTTGTGAAAACTTCGGTGGTGGTTGGCGATGGAAGCAGCATAATAGAGAAAGGAAAGAAGAGGTAAACAAGAAACCTTTTAGTTTTAGATAAGTTTGAAAAGTTACTTGTAGAAATTTGGTATAAAATTTGATTCTCCTTCAATTTAAGTCCAGAATAAGTTTTGTCTTTATTTGGTATAGGTTTGAGTCTAAAACTAGAGAAATTTTTTGGGTAATTTTAACTTAAATTTAAATTTGAGTCTACATTTAAATTAAGGTCGGAGATATTCTAAGAAAAAAAATAAGGGCGTTCAAGTGTGAAACAAGAGATAAGGAAAAAAAAACAAAGTTAAGAGAAAGAAGAAAAAATAGAGGAACATTGAGACTTGAGTGCATATACAGCTGGTGATATTGGCTTCAATTGCTTTCGGATTTGAGAATAGTGTTCGCGATAGCTTAGTATTCATATCTTGTAGCATCGAATCATGATTTGAGGTATACGAAATGTTCCTTTTGAATCTCTTTGTTAATAGTGTTTTTTTTTAATTATCTTTTGATTTGTATTTCATATTGTGATATCATTATTTTTAGAATTTTGAGTCAATGTTGTTGAATATACTGATCTCATTAATTGTATTTTGTGTGAATTGAAAAGGGATCATGACACTTAATAGTTCGATGCATTGCCAACCAATAGACCCATGCAATCGGGTTTAGGTGAAATGACTGGTGAGCTGTTAGATTTGCGTTTAGATCTTACATGACATGTGATATGTGATTATAAATGTGTTGGTTTATATCTATTGATTAAGATACCTTATGATTCTTGATTTATTCGGTATTTAATGTCCTATTTCTCGTCATATTGTATACTTTTTCATTTTATTTAATATTTTTAGGTTAATTTTAGTGAAAAGATCAGAGCAAAATAATCAAAGTATTAAAGATGAGAAGATGTCGATATAATTGTTGTTTTATTTGTATTGAGAAATTTATTTGTATTGCAAGATGATATTGATAAATCTAATTTTATTGGGACAGTTTTCGGTTGTATTTTTATCAAATAATGTCTCTGAAAAATCAGAGCGTTACACCACCACTAACACCCACCACCATAACCCATTATCGCCACCACCATCCGTCGTCATCTATCATTGCCGTCATCTACCCCCACCACACCTACCACCACCATCGTCATTCGCCACCACTCATTACAACCGTCGCCCACAAGCACTTGTGGTTACCACCACCACTCACACCTACCACCATTATCGTCACCGTCTACCACCACAACTCAATATTGCCAACATCACCGTCGTCGCCCCACCACCACCACTGATAATCACCATTATCGTCGCTCACCACCATCCCCACCCATTACCAGCACCGAGTTCACTTATGACTGTCATTACTAGTATCATCATCTAAAATCTATCATCATCATTGTCACCCACGATTGCCATCATCATCTAAAATCTATCACATCATTGTCACCCATGATTGCCACTACCTCCACAGTCGTTGTCGTCCACCACAACCATTATCGTCTTCCATCACCACCAATGTGGCCCATCATTACTAACACCGCTCATTTTTTACAACTGGTGTTTAATTTTATTTCTCTCTCCTTTGTGCTTGTGATTTGATTTTGATTGTGAATACAAATATATTTGTGATTGATAATTTTTTTAAAGCACAAACGATAACTAATCTATCCATATTATATAACAAATAATTTAGATTAGAGCGGGCCTAATATAGCTTTCCTCTCTCTCTTTTCTATTTTTCTCATAATTTTGATTTTTTTAATTAACTTTGAG